GATAAGATGTCCAAGAATGACCAAAACCATTACTCCAAACGAAAGAATCAAGCAAAAATTACAATAATCGAATAAAAGAGGAAGAAAAAGAATCACACTAATTTTATTGATCATCAAGGAGGTGCATCTATAATGAGCAATGTCATAAAAAAAATAATAATAATACATTTATGCTTATGGATAACAATACTGGCAAGCACCTAAACAACTCGTATCTATCCAAAACAAACACAAGAAAAAGCAATGATGATAAATCCTTGAGGGAAAGAATACACATACGCTACATGGGAGCAAACCAGAAGATTGCAAGTGTTGAATCAAAACTTAGGTCTCAATGTAAGTTTGTATAAAGGGTTTCAAAAACTCTTTCTTCTCTAACATAACTGGTGTTTCTAAGATTCTCTATTTCCCGGGATTTCAATGTCGCTCAAGCTCATCAGTAGCCACCACCATATGGATGTTGATTAAAATTACCTGTTCCCATCATGGGATTATAATTATATCCTCCAGGCCTGGTAACGGGAGGAAAACCAGTCTGTTGCATATGTACTCCTTGACCCATACCCATGGGATGCTGGCTTACACCATAACCTCCCATGCCAATACCCATCCCGGGCTGGACAGTCGTGCCACCAATGCCCATCACTGGGTTAGAAAGAGGCCTAAGAGCACCAGCACGGCCAATTCCAGAACCTGACCCCATGGCTTTACCCATGGTAACATTTGATATCGCTGTAGATGCTGTCGGTTTTTCCATCCTCCTCTCCTTGCGATTTATGGCATCAAAATCAACTCCGATGTCAGCCAATGGATTTGTTTTTGCTACACATGGAAATAACAGTGATGTCAAATGTGTGGTCGAAGGAATATTATATGAAACGAGACTATTCAAAACTACAAGAACTCACCCCCGGAGATATTTAAATTGACTAGTCCACGGCTCAGAGTATCGGCCCAAATGGTGGATTTTGTCTCAAACTTGTCTTTTGTTGGCTGGGGAACTATAGCAGTTGACAATGTTGAAGCTGGCAACGCTGACTGTGAACCATGAGTACTTGAAAATTGACCCCCATAGAAATTAGCATTTGATCCTGCAGATTGGCCAATGAGAGGAGTCTGAATACCAGCCTCTGAAGAACCCGTTTGAGAAGGAAAGCCGGCAAGGGTTGCAGGTTGACCACTTTGAGTGGTAAAACCCATCTGTGATGCTTGGCCAGCATGAGCTGGGAAGGTCGAGGCCATGGAAACAGACTGTCCCGGTTGAAGTGGATAAGTTGTCTGTAACGAAGGCTGGCCTGGTTGTGAAGCAAAACCCGACTGCAATGCAGGTTGGATAGATTGAACTGGACCAGTTTGTGAATTGACAGGAAGTGAAGATCCAGATGGTGGGAGAACATCGGCTAATATATCAAAATCCTGGTTGTGTGTTGACAGCTCCTGTTGGGGAAATTGTGTGCCTCCGAACGCAGCAGTTGTGTTTAGAGGAAATAGTTGTGGCAGGTCAGAACTTTGACTAGAGCTCAAATGGACGGAACTTGCCGAGGTAATGACCTGTTGTTGAGCTGGTACACTATTTGTAGAAGTAGCAGCTATAAAAGGGCCATCCCCAAATGGATCGTCAAACGGCTGCAAAAAAAGCCACATATTTAACGCCACAAGTGCATTTTGTTCTACAATACATCCATAAAATGACAGTAAGAGGAAGAAGCGGTCACCTAATGGTTCGAACTTTATGAAAACCACCACAAAGGTTCAGTATTTTTTTTTATAGGTACCAAAGGTTCAGTATTATTCAAGTCAAGCTCGAATGAATCAGGAAATGATAGATTCGCCAAAAACTTTTACTTCGGGAAAAAAAGGACATAGATCGAATTCATCGAGTGAGATTTGTGGGTGCGTGTGTGAGAGAATGAAATTCACATTTGCATACAATCAATAGTAAGAGGTAAGGTTAGTACAGAAAACTAAACGACCATTTTTGCATAAATACGGCCATATCATCTCGGGAAAATAAATCATTTAGTTCGTTTCCAACACTCAAGACTACAAAACAGCAACAATCAGCATCAAAGCAGAAGCACTCCACCTCGTTTATTTGCCTAAATAAATTTGGAAGTCATCATAGAAAACATTTTATAGAACAGACATGTTTAAAGGGAATTCAACCTGACCCATGCCCAACTTCACTGTATCTCAATTAATAAATGATCAAATAATCAATTTGGAAAAATCACCAATGATCGACAAATTTTAAGACGTGAGTGATACACTTGAAGCATTCAGAGTGTTTTAATCGATATTTTTATTACCACTTTGCTACTGGTCCAGTAAGAAAAATGACAATTTTAAAATCAAACCAGGTCTTGAAGCTTTAAGGAATTATCATCTAAAGATAACCTGAGATGATGTGGCCACAAATGCGGGTCCATGGCTGGAGTTTACCGAGCCATCAGCTTCAGAGGTCGTGATTTGCGGTGTAACAGGCACGAGAGCTAATGAGTCAAATAAATCTTTTTCCGTGCCACCTGATGTAGTTGGAGCAGCAACATTTGATGTAGTTGGTGCAGCTGTTAATAGAGGTAAAGGGAAAAGAAAATGAAAAAGGAAAGAGAAAATACTATTATAACAATCTTGTATTAAGTTGATAATTTTAAAAGCAAAAAAATATGATCAAGCCAACATTGGGCAGTAAACAAGCACTTATATGGTGTCGAATGAGAATATGGAAGTAAACTATTTATCAGTAGAGGTGGGCATTGAGCTTGAATAATCTTTTGGTTCCAACTATATAAGAAAAGGGGGTTAAAAAATCTTGAGTGCTGTTTATTTCATATTAGACAAATCTTAAGATGGAAAAAAAATGGACAAGAAGCATTCCGCCATATGCACCAGATAGAATATTGAAAGTAAATCGCTGGAGTAAGATGTCAGATATTTTGTGTCAAACACAGACATGGTAACTACCATAATTCCTTATATTCCACATACCAGTTTGGCCTTATTCTGACATATTTTTGAGGAATTTAATGCGAAGTCTGAGAGAGAAGGGTTTTCATTGTCTATTTTCTGATAGAAATTAGCAAATGGATATGCATGTAATTCATTAAGTCTCCTGTTTATACGATGATATCACTTACAAGAGGGACATTCATGTAAAATAATTTCAATGTGGCTATTGATAATAGAATATATCTTGCAAAAGAAGGAATTATAAGACACGATCAGATGTATTCATGAATCAAATATTCACCAAACAAACCACCCCAATAATGGGAAGCACCAAAGATATACATTTTGCAGTAAGGTTTCTCCAACTTTGATAGGCATCTTGGCAAAACCAATTCAAAATACAAGATTAAAGTGAACGAGAGTCAATCACAACCCATATATGCCCAGACAAGTCCTCATAGCAATGGATACCAGAAATGAAGAAATTCACATGGGGATAATAGTTGTTTGTTTGCATCTATAGTCAACAAAGTGGTGTATGTCGGCTTCATCGCTTTGACCTTTATCAAGGAACAAAGGACATTGGAAAACAGTTGGACAACATTCAAAAACTCATAATAAACAATAGTAAACACATAAACAACTCTCAGCTTACCTAGATCAGTAAAAGTTAACCAGAAACACTTAATGTTGACCAGCAATTATGCAGGCACCAAAAGATTCTGAGAATATATTAACTTAAACAGTATAACCTTGTTTAGATTCTGTGTTTCAAATATTTTACCTTTTATATGACCAGGTACAAGCAAATATTTAAATAAAATATAAGATCCCCATCAAGAAAAAATACTAGCCACTACAATGAAGTCACGGAAAAATATCAAGGAATCAATGAGAATCTATAAAATCCTGGTTGATAATCCTTTACCTGAACCACGTGGATCAAACTCATCAAAGCCGTCAACTTTCTTATTATTTGGAGCTGGAGCTGGAGCTGGTGATGAAGCTGCTGCATTACTTGGACTAGAACTTGAGGGAGGAGGGGATGCTTTAGGCGCAGATGCTTGGGAAGGTTCTCTGTCCCTTTTGACAATAGGAAGTTAGGACAAATCAAGAATAATTCATGCACAAGCTAGGCAATGGTCAATAGCACAAACTTGTTACCTTTCACTATAAGTAGGACTGCGTGCACCATTAACAGCCTCCTCATAACTAGGAGGAGCATTAAGGTTTTGTTCAGAATATTTACGATCAAACGGCCTGGCCGTAGTACTAAACCCAAAATAAAAAAGTCAGTTTACATATATATATATGGAAAAGCATAATCAGAAATAAGTTGTAAAAGTTCCACAGTATTTACCTTCCATCTTGAGAATGATCCTCAATTTTGGCACCACTTCCTCTGCAATTGGAAATGGTAAGATTTCATAACATAAATCATATCAAAACAATTTTTTTGCTTGAGATAGGTAAGAAAAAAAACTAATAAAACACAAGGACGCATATGGATACTAGGAAAAACAAATGAATATAAAACCACCCAGCTTGGGAAATTTCAGATTACCTAATACAACAAAAAGTAGTATTGGTAGATTCATGTTCTGCCAAAATTGATAAAAGTTGCCAGCAAAAATATGAGGTTTTGTATGCTTGTATTTTTGACATTCATAAGCAAAACCTTTCATGCATATAATTGTCGTCTAGAATTTTCTCTTACCATAAATGTCAATAGAACCAGTATGCACTTTCTGAGGAGAGAGGAGGAGGTATAAATTCACTATAAAGTTAGATTTCACTTAAGAATATGGAAAATAGGCAAACCTTGAAGAATATTGGCTATCGTCTTCATAAGCACGGTCTCTATCTCGCTCAGCACTTCTACTTCTTGACCCATATTGATTATTATCAATGCTTCGACTTCTTCCTCGGTATTCATCATCCCTAGAGCCACCTCGGCCAGAACGCTCCTCATATTCTCTGTTGTATCTGTCCCCGTCACGGCCATACGAATCGCCATACTTACCATATCTATCGTCATCTCTTTGGCCCCATTCTCTCTCTCTCCCATAACCATTACGGTCATCATCTCTGCTTCCATAACGATCCTCATCATATCTGTCACCATATCCTCCTCCACTTGAATAGGAACCAGGCCGATACATATTACCCATCGATGTGTTGCGATACCTATTAAGGTATTTATATGGAGTCAAGAAATCCGTTTAGTTAAATAACAAGCAAGAACAAAGAATATCTACGGTTTGTTCAGTTGCGCCAAGCATGCTAAACTTGAAGCCAAAGGAAAAAAAAATAGTTAAAGATGTATTCAGGGAACACACAATATATTAGAAGGTAAACTACAGCAGAGTGTAGTTTCGAAACACATCTGACCCAACTTCTCCCGAAAAACCCCCATAATTTTGTAAGAATTTTCCAGACAGCATCAGATGGCATTCGTGTTTATTCCCCAAAATACATGGAGTTGCATCTAATAAATCCTCACCCCTCGACGTATAAATTAGTCATGGAAGATTTCCCATCCATTGAAGACACAATTTATATCGTATGCACGTTGCTCTTTATCAAGCAGTTTAACATATTATCGGAGCTACTCTGTTCGAGGTCTCACCAAGACCTATTTATTGAAACTATGCATGTGATAAGCCTATGACGGGAAAATGAACCCTACCTCCACAAAATATGCAATTTAAATGACACTCCCTCCATCTCATTTATATAGACATGATTTGTTTTTCACACGGATTAAGAAATCTTATTTAATGTTATTGGAAAAACAATTTTTGCCAAAAACTTTCCTAATTTACCCTCATTTAATTATCAATAACTAGTGGTAAATTATTATTGGAAGTAGTAAAGATATAAGGGTATATTAATAAACGAACAAAACAAAACATTTTTAATAAAGAAGCAAGACTATATAATTGGGACAAGAAAATAAGGAAAGTGAGCCTATATAAATGGGACGGACGGAGTATAAGCGAGGCCCTCTCTAAGACTTTAAACTTCTAGATCAAGTGATTCAACACCATCTTTAAGACGCAACTCTGAAAAGTAAAGAAACTATTTTGCACCTGAAAAGAAATTACAAGAAAACTAGGGAACAAATATCCTCGAATGCTTAAATAGACAAAATAAAACTTGAACTCACATTTCAAATCCGCACCTAACATGAAATGACAGATGCACTACCAGAATGTATAGTATTTCTAAAGCAGCATTAAAATAATTCATCTTTGAACATCATTCAACAACAAAGAATTGGACATGTAAGTTCCAAAAAAAAGATGCATAATAATGTATGCAAATCGACTAAATGGTGAAGTTATAAGTGAGACAAGAAGATACAACACAAATACACAACAGAATCTTAATGTTATCATTCCTGCCATTCATGATATGTAATTTCAACTAAGTTCAAAAGAAGATATTATTGAGTTAGCAGGTATAATAACAGCTAAAAGAAATAAAGAAAATAATAAACTCAAAATTTCAAGCTTTCAGATATCAGTAAGTCAAATAAACCATCATGCATGGAAAAATCACTGATAAACTTCAAATGATTGATATGACGATCCGAAAAGAGGAAAGCATTGGTGACAAACTGATACTTAAAATTCAGTAACAACATCAGACATATAGCAATGTGCATAATCAGACAAAAAATGCAAGGCACGCTTACTTGTCCTTGTTAGCAGCAGCCTTCTGACGAACTTCTTGTATTCTTTCCTTGTCATTTACAAGAACCACAAGACTCTGAGATTTCTTTCTGACATTGTTTCCCTGATCCCTCCCACTGGAATCAATGTATTGAAAGTCGGACAATGTCTATCACAAGAAAAGAAATTGTAAATGCTACCACAGCCCACCAAAATGTTTCAGATCAATCTAGCACTTCACAGAATGTCATAGTGTGTACTTTATAAAAAAAGTAGAGCTATAGAGGTAAAATTTAAACTAACCGATATTTGGTATGCATGCTCCCGGATCTCATCTATGACACGTTCTGAACCATGAGCTACCAAATAATCCAAAACAGTCAAAGCCTGGAAATGAACGGGAGAATATTCATATGACAAGAAAACAGTCAACATAGGAGAGGAGGGGTAAAAATTAACACAAAAAATGAATCCCTTGAGGAGGATGTCTTCACAATAATACAGAAAAAAATAACAATACAATTTCCTCCAATTTGCACAGGGATGAAAAATCTAAGGGATGTTGAATTAAACAAGATTTTGCAATAAGAAAACAAACAAATTGCTCCAGGATATAGAATAACGAGGTAGAAATACCAACCTTGTAAACATGACGCCAATTTTTTCCAGTATCATTGATACGCTTCCAGATTACAGACATTATCATCTGATACTCATGACTGTTGGAAATTGAAAATAAGCACCTTCTAAATGGAAGCAGACAGAATAGAATAATATTTTCAAAGATTTCAAGCTTACAAGTTTCTTGTTGCCTGTGCAATATCAGCAAGAAGTGCTCCATGAGGACCCCAAGGCTCATTGCTAGTTGCATCAAGAACCTAAAACAGAAACCAAGTACTACTCAGAAACTGTTTTAGAATGCCAAAGAAAAGGAACCATTCTTAAGAGCCTGCACTTGAGATTCTCTTTTACCGACCAAACATTCAACTTGCTCAAAGGTATCAAATGCATAAGAGAGTAAAGGAAAAGAAAATCACCTTCTGTTCTATTGAAGGGACTTTAAGAACTTTTTTATTCACCTCTCTCTTACTGCAAGAAGACAGTAAAGACAGATGAGGTTTGCTCGGTATCAACTCCAATAACAAAATTTAGAACCATTCAAACAAAAAAAAAGTAATAATTTGGACAAAAAATGACAATGAATCCCAGAAAGTTGTTCAAACAACTAATCAGTGTTTTCCTATGCTTTCTGGATTCTGCTGGCATAGACCTTTCACAAGTTTTTAGCAGCATGGTACAATATCAAAAGCTAACATGTCCCATGAACTACAATGATGTCGCGTTTATATAAAAATAACTAAAAAGCTCCAAAACAGATCTTTCAGAATACAATTAAACTTACATGTCGCGAACAGTTTGATCAAAAGCCTTCTTCATTTCAATTTCTTCTTATGAGTCCGAATCAATAATTCGTTAATGATATGTTCTGCACTGCCAAAAGGTAAATAAATAAGCCAACAATTATACAACTGTGCAACTGTAATTTCTTTTTTGAGGCGAGAATCGAATTGCAACTAAAGGCCTTCCAATGAATTAACACGAATCAATTCAACGAGAAAATGAAATTGAAGCAGGAAACTATCATAATAACAAAAGAACAGAAAATCCAACAATAACGATAAAAGGAAATTGAAACATCATATATAAAGAGAACAGAAATTAGATCTGGAAAGATCAAATGCGAGCATACAAAAAAAATCAGAAAAAAATAAAGATAATCAAACTCAAAACATACGAAAATTGAAGGCAGGCTACTTCAAATTTATCAGATCTGCGAGAGAAATTAGTATAGAATTATCTAGAGGGAGAATGAGGATCGAAGAAAGCGAGAGAGGAGAAGAAAAAGGGGGAAATGAGGTGCCAAAGTAAGAAAATTCGTATAGATGAAAAGGAACAGCTGTGACTCGCTGTTGAAATGAATAATTAATAATTTGCAAATATAGGGAGACAGCGCACCTTACACGGTATTTTTTCTTTTAATTTTTAAATTATTGTCCGGATATGTTGAATTGAGAGAGAAAAAAAATGGAGCCCGACTAAAAATATGATTAATGCTATTCGTAGTGAAAAATTAACACATTAATGCACCAAATCATAAATCGTCGTATATATGCTATGTAAAAAGATTACCTGTAGTTTCACTGCTAATAACATAAATAAAAAATATACTTACTATTCTATATAGTTCATATTTGGTATATGAAGGAATGCGAACGAACCAATTTTCCTTTTATCTTTGCTTCAAATAATATAAATAAGGAATATTTTTCAAGTAGAATTTAAATTTACGATAAGTTATTTTACAATCGTTAATCTCGTCCTACGCTTTTTAGGACTTCGGAGAGTAAGAAATTTAGTAATGATTATCATTTGAACCCTACTATCAAGAATTTTCACGTGAATGCTTAAAACAGTCTCTATTTTTTGTCTTGAAACTTTAGACGAGCAACTAAGTTTAAAAGGACGTGCTGATTTGCCGTGGGTTAATCTCAACATTCAAATTAGATTTTTGGAAGCTCTCTCAGCTCGGCTACTCGAGCTCTGTCGAAGGGGAGGTATTTGTTGTTCTTGTTAACAATGGATCAAAACCTATACCTACAAATCCTACACTTGTTAGCCATAATTGTATGACATCCATTCATACTCATATTTTTAAAATGTTCCATTTATCAAGTTAGATTCACTTATTTTGAAGAAATAGAAGTAATATATGTGAAAGATTAGGAGACATAAATTATATTTAATTTAGTATTGATGTTTTATGAGAAGGAATTCACAATTCACTAAATCGTAACTGTTGACCAACCTTGGCCTATTACATGAAACTCCCATTGAATTAAAAGTCAAGAAGCTATCATCCTTTTTTGATAGAAAAAAAAAAAGAAAAAAGAAATTACCTCACATCTTTTTTTTTTCCATGAAAATACACAAAAAATATATTAAAATTTTTTTTATTCTTCAGTAAAAAAGGATAAATTTGAACAGCCACCATTATTGGATGCAAAACACAGTAAAGGTCTTCAGCATACAAAGCTTCTTAGGAGTACAACCATTAGTCGATCGAGTTCATTGCAAGTAAAGCTACTCCCGAATATGGAACTGAACCGAACAGAACCAGAAACAACATAAAAGATACAATAGTATTTGAATTTCAACAATAATTCATTACGGTTATGCACAAAATAATCCATTTCCAAGCCTCTAATTAGCAAGTGATACATCGAGAAGAGGTGGCTGAAGGCATTTCATACATCAATTTGAACCCCATCCCCACCTCCAAAAGTTAAAATCTGAAGTATTTCCTCTTTTTTTCCTCCAAGATATATCTTATGTTTATCGTTTGTAATAAGGTAATTAGCACCTCGAGCGCCATCTTTTCCTCTCTTCAATCCCCTCGGGGTATGTACACGCCTCTGAAAGGATAACAACTACAGGGCATTTGAATTGTATCTCTCGAATGAGTCCTCCACCACCTTTATGATAACCAACACCTCCACTATTCTCCCTCAATCTAAATTTATGCAATAGAACTGGATCTCTGCTAAAAAATCTCGGGATCAGTCATGCGAGTATTGGTCATGTGGCATTGGACTCCAGTGGTACCGTCCCAGTTAGGGCCGGCCCCACTTCCGCCACCAATTGTCTCATAATAGCCAAAATGTATTATCCCCACACGTCAAATTATTTAGGTTAATTTCACAAACGGTCACTGAAATTACAACAAAATAACAAAACGATCACTGAAGTTTAAAAATTGCACTAACGGTCACTTAAGTATCAGCCGGTTTCAAGAACGGTCACTGAAGGACCAAATGAGTTGAAGCTTGAACCATGAGGACCTACATCGCAAATTTGACAAGAGCCATTTTTTGCCATTTTTCCGACAATTTTGCAACCGAATTCCGGCGCCGTCCGACCTCCTAAGCCGCCGGAAATTTGCACCAGTCGAAAGCACTCATCTTCCTCTTCAATTAGCATCCAACATCTCCCATTTTCATCAACTTATGTAATCGGAATCGATGCTCAAAGTTCAATGCCCACTAATTTGAAAATCGCCAAATAAGTCGAGCTCTGGTCGAAATTGGCCATGACCTATACCTGGGCAAGCTGGGCCATCACCAGATAACCACGTCCATGGCTCTAATTTAACACAAAAAAATCAGAAAATTTTATTTGTGCAGCAAGTTCCTTGCCAATCGCGAATGTCGTGATACCATCTGCTAAAAACCAAAATTTCGGAGCCGTCCGACCAAGCCCCAATTGCGAACCACCTGGGTTTTGATCCTCTTCACCGGCGTAGCTTTCCCAGTTATGGGTCATGGCCAATTTCAATCGGAGCTCTACTTATTTGGCGATTTTCAAATTTATGGGCAGAGAGCTTTGAGCATCGATTCTGATTACATAAGTTGATGAAATTGGGTCCCTGAGCTCGAGTTATTGGCCATTTTTAGATCTTCCGGCAGTGAACTTTTGAGCATCGATTCCGATTACATAACTTGATGAAATTGGGAGAGGTTGGAGGCTAATTGAAGAGGAAGAGGAGTGCTTTCGACCGGTGCTAATTTTCGGCGGCTTAGGAGGTCGGACTGCCCCGAAATTTGGTTGCAAAATCGCTGGAAAAATGGCAAAAAATAGCTCTTGTCAAATTTGCGATGTAGGTCCTCATGATTCAAGTTTCAACTCATTTGGTGCTTCAGTGACCATTCTTGAAATTGGCTGATACTTGAGTGACCGTTGTGCAATTTTTAAACTTCAGTGACCGTTTTGTTATTTTCATGTAACTTCAGTGATCATTTATGAAATTAACCCTAAATTATTCATGCAACCTTGAACACACGTGTTGACCTTAAAAAATGAGCTCACACAGATGTCGGGCCCACTCTTGCCACGTTAAGTATGGTTTCGGTGTGTTCTTACCAGATTAATTATGGTAATCAACTTGAAATGGATGCAGGAGGCACTTTTTGATAAGAGACGAAAATGTTCAGACTCCGGCCGTATGATTTGAGGGCAACCGCCCTATCAACGATGGCCAGGCAAAAATAACTAAGGGTAAATCTCTCTTTTCGTTTGAATGAATATGTGGAAGGATAGATAAAGTAGGACGAATTGGTGTTGGAATCACAATATCTTTCTATTCGGCTTTGTGTTCAACAAATATATGCTAAACAATCGATTGAAAGCTTACTAAGAATTTTCTCCCCCAGGGATTTCTTGTGAGTCTTCAGTATATAAGTGTTTGCTTTTTTTATTACAAAGATGCCAACCCCGATTTCTTACAAGGAGAAGCTATTTATACTATCAAAACCATGTGGTGATCGTTGGATCAAAACCATGTGGCCAGATCTCCTACACTGAAGTCTCACATCACTATCTAGTCCTTTAATTAGTATTGACAAATGGTTAGCCGTTCAACATTGGAGGCTAACACACTTTATTACAGACGTCACATCAATCATTCCAAGGATCTTCGAATCTTCAGCGTTGGTCAGCATCGAATTTAGGACTTTTGGCGCTCTAGAGCTTTGGAGAACTTGCAAGAACCTCAGCTTCCAGCTTCAGTGCTTCGCATACGAGGAGGGGTTCAACATCAGCTTCAGTCTTCGGTGAAAGGACTTTGGATGTTAGTTTCTTTTACCACTTTGACCTTCTCCTGACTTTTCTGCTGACTTCCTGCCAACGTGGCTTGGCTGTCCACTTGGCAATCTCTACTGGAGCCTTAGAGGGGAGGCATAACAATAGTCTCTCATGTTTATACATGATTATTTATGTAATGTATGGACTTCAAGTGTAGCATACTTTCGGAAATGAAGAGCTTCTAGTAGAATGGAAGAAAGTGAGGTAGTTCTTCGCATCATTATAGGGATAGGCTCATCTGATTTGTGAATCCCCCCTCATTGGAAGAGGTTGTTGGAAGTGGCTTACCTTGGTAAAATGTTTATCTTTCTGATCCGCATTGGAAGAGGTTGTTGGAATGGCCACCTTAAATTCCCCGTTTCTCCTTTGTACATCCGAGGTCCCTTCAAGTATCCGAGGTGAGGAAGGTTTGAAGCCTACAAAGCCTCGGAATTGCTAATTACGAGGGGTTTATTATTTTTAAATGATTTTGAGAAACACAGGCGTCCTTAATTAGGCGCCTCAATGATTTGTGTCATGGTGCGTTTCCAAAAAAAAAAAAAGTAAACAAAACGATATGACTTCCCATACATGCCACTGTTGCCGCATTTAATGTGCAACGATGGCTATCCCCCACGTCCGTTCATAAATCCTAGACGCATGAGGGCGTGATCTGGGCCTTGGAAGACAAAACATTAGATGTACTGTGTGGTTCAGATAACTAATACGGCCGACCTCGCCAAGGCCATCGAGGGTGGACGAGGAGCCATTGTTTTTGGGAGGTGGTGTCGGGGATGATGACGATATAGCTTGTAGGGTAGTCAAAATTCTGTCCTACATAGATCCGACCTACCTTGCTAACCTTAGGGAAAAATATAGAATCATCTATGACATGTAACTCTTATCCCCATATCCTGATGAGCGAGCCTGCTACCTGAGGCAAGATTGTGTTGCCATAAGTGAGTTCCTTCTAAAGGCTGGGCTTCGCCTGCATCTTTATCCTTTTTTTTGAGTTGTCCTTAGGTTGTACGGGTTGGCTCCCACCCAGCTCGCCTCTAATGCCTGAGCCCTACTAGTAGGGTCTTATTTCTTTTGGAAAGAGACTTCCTTAGGCGATGACATGCCCTTCCATGTCTTCCAAACCATCTATCAGCCTAGGTTCTTAGCCAAGGGGGATTCTAAGGGTTAGTACTCCTTGTGCCCGTGGGGGGCACATTCTCCTTTTGTAGTGGGTCTCCCTTCACCCATCAAAGGATTGAAGGAGACCTGGTTCTGGGTTCGGGAAAAGTGGTAGGAGTACGAGGGTGACATTGTCCCATATGTTAAAGTATCGACCTCTTACTTCGAACTTAGTGAGTATTATTTCTGCATTTTGCTCGTTACAATTTATTGAAATTGTTATTAATTGATTGTGATCATCTTGTAGGGTCGGTGGAACACTTCGATGAAAGTGACTAGGATCCTTATCTGAGATCTACCGCTGACCCTCTTCATCTCGCGACTTCGAGCGTCTAGTCGTCCCCTAGCATTTTTACGAAGAGCTTTGCTTAATGGCCTGAAGAGGCATGACTTGGTTTTTATTCATTCGTAGATTCCCAATTTATTTGCTTACTTGTTTATGTCTGACCTCGTGTTATCCTTTTGCAGAAAATTTTGAGAAGAGGAAACCCTGATTACGCCCAAAGAATAACGCGGTAGTTATAGTGCAGCTTTGGGATGTCGTATCTACAGGGAGATAGAAAATGCTCAAAGGATCAGGAAGAATGAATTATTCTCTTCAATGTGTAGTGAAATTCAATGTTTGAATTATGAAATTAAAATCAATAATTTGAGGCAATAAAACATCGAAATTCTCTCAATTGGATTGAATCATTCACCAATTATTCCATTTTTATAACACAATAATAGACTTTCATCCTGACCCTTTAATCGGAAAATATATCGTGAAAACCAATTCAATTTACAAATGTAAATTTAGAATCTAGACTTATGACATATTCGTATAATTTTATTGGAATAAGATCAAAGATCGACCATATACATCAATCATAAGGCAGTATTCAATCCATCAATAAAGTAAAATTGAGATTAAAACTCAACAATTAGTTAAATCTAATGATAGAAGAAACATGACTGGATTTATAAAAGATTTAATAATTGTTAAACAAATCTCAACAACAAGTAATTGAAATTGAAACTCAATAAATAGTTTGATTAAACAATAGAAAAAGCATGATTGAATCCATGAGAAGTCTAGTAATTATTAAATCGATTTCAATATAAATTCCTAAAAAGAAAAGTCTAAATCCTAAGNTCATGAAAAGAAAAGTCTAAGTCCTAAGATTATTCAGCAAGAAAAGACCAATTACATGAAATAATAGATATGAAATTACCATATCCAATTGAGTTCATCCCTTGTTTCACCAAAATTGTTAGTTTTTCATGAGTTTTTTGAGCCAAAATCAATGGATGGATGATGAATAATGAAGAATTTCCATTCTGCGACGTTCGTGGGATTTTTTAGGGTTGAGAAATTGTGTCACAATAATTTACCATAAGTGTTTGACATAAATTAGAAAACTGAATTTTTTTTTACCGATTTGGCTTGGGTTGGAGCCCAATAGAAAATGGGGCGGCCGCCCAGACATAAAATTTGGTTTATGTATTTGAAGTTTAGGGTCGAGCGGCCGCCCGACCTATATAACTGGACAATATTCAGTATTTTGGTCGTAACATCCAATGTTGATGTCCGAGTGAGATGATTCAAAATGCGTTGGAAAGCTAACTCAAAGAGCTACAACTTTACTTCAGATACCATTTTCCAATTCGATCATGTTCCATGTCAAAAAGTGGTCTCAATATGAGGCTGAAAACTAGTGCAACATTTTCAGTTTGAAAGTTTATATGTGATAATGTTTTTGCTATATTTCATCCATTCGACTGCCTTTTTCATCAAATTGACCTCTAACACTCCAAAATCTTCATCACAAGATTAGAAATAAGTTTAGAATATTTTCACTTTAGTTCCTGAACTATCACTTTCCTTTATTTTGATCCATTTTCACTCTTTTCTTCTAGTTTCCTCCGTGTTCATCCATTTGTACCCTAAACCAAAATAAAAGTGTCCTTAGAACATTTAGGTGCCAATAGATCGTGAAATTTCAATTATTAGTGGATGAAAAACGTGATAACTGCACTATTATCAAACCCCCTACCCTGACATGGCCACCATTTTGGCTGCCGTAAGGGCATGATTACACTCGAAGAATAATGCGGTAGTTGTAGTGTAGTTTTGGAGTGTCGTATCCACAGGAAGATGGAAAATTATTCAAAGAATAAAAAACTTAGGGTTCCCGTGAATTTGATGAAAGGAATTTGTTTATTGCATAAAAATGTATATGCCACCGGAAGTAAAAATGGAGTTTAAGGTTATATGTAGAAGTTTCAGAATTCCCTCAACTAGATTGAATCAATCAACATCAATAAGTCATGCATTCTCTACTCAATTAGAAGTTTTTATCCTAACTTTCTAATCGGATGATTTAACAATACAAACCAATTTAATTCTAACATGATCGTAACGGTTAATCATTCATTTGCAATTATATTTCTAACAGATAACAGCAATTGAATTACACCAATAAATGATTTGAAATTGAAACGTAAACCAATATTTTAATTATTCAATGGAAAAAACATGATTAAATCCATGAAAAAACTGAATAAAAGCTAAGTTGAACTCAAATCTGATTCAAAGTACGGAAAACATAAACTCCAGAATTATTTAAACATTGAAAAATACATTACATGAATAAATGATGTCAAAATATCCAAACCCAATTGAGTTCCTTCGTAGGTTCACCAATGGTTTAGTCCTTCATGGGTTTTTTGAGCTAAAATTAATGAAAGAATGGTATAGAATGAAAAATGAGGCGTTGCGTACTGGGCTGTTCTAGGGTGTTTTAGGGTTGAGAAATCGTGCTAAAATAAGTTACCATAAGTGGTTGAATTAAATTCGAAAACCAGAATTTTTGCCTTGAATACCCTATGCCTTGAAAATACCCTTGGCGGTCGTATAGAAGGCTGAAGTTGGCCACTGAAAATTTCTGAAAGGTAAGATGCGACCGCATAGAAATAACCATATGCGATCACATAGGTTTAAGATTTTTCCACCGGATAGTTTTCAGTATTTTCATCATAACTTTCTTTCCAAATGTCCTATTGAGGTAATTCAAGATATATTGGAAAGATAACGCAAACGGATACAACTTTGATTCAGATTCCATCTTTGAATTCGATCGTTTTCCATGTCAAAAATTGGTCTCAATATGAGGCTAAAAACCAGTGCAAAACTTTTCAATTTGAAAGTTGATATATGATAATGTATTGGCTATGTTTCATCCCTTTGACTTCTTCCTTCATCAAATTGACCTCTAACACTCTCGAATCCTCATCCAAGGTTAGAAACAAGTTTAGAATATTTGTCCTTTAGTCCCTGAACTTTCATTTTTTCCAATTTGGCCATTTTTAACTTGTTTTTCCTCAATTTCGCTGCATTCATTACTTTATCCTGCAAAACATGAATTGTATAAAATTAAGCTTTATTCTAACATATTAATCAAAAATTGTTCATGTTTTGACAATAAAATAAGTATGTAAAAATGTACTTATCAAACTCCTCCAAACTTGAACTATTGTTTGTCCTCAAACAACAACAAAACTGTACGAACAACATGGTCTAACAATCTGTCGTGTCTCAGGTTTGAAATTTGGAAGTCAAACAATAAACAATTACAATAGTACAAAAATTAAACCAACATCCACATGTTACATGCATAACCAAACGTGTGTGTGAAAACTCATGTTAACATCTTAAAATTGTAATTGGTTCAACACTTGTCCCAAAGTAGTTCAATATATCATTTTCTCGCTTGAGAGATACACACAGCCCCAACTTATGATTTTCCCTCAATTTTCCCAGGATGCATCCTAAGTTCAACTTTTCAATTCTATTCCTTACCTTATCGTAGTTTGGATAGACCTTACTCTTATAAGTTCACACTTCAACAAATCGAGATTCTTCTATATTTTTTATCGCTTCTACCTTTGAGACTAGACTAAATTACTTGTTTCTCATCAGATGTGTAGTTTTTGTCAACTAGATGCTTGGGGCATAATCAATGCATTTGAATGGACATAATTTTTTTTCTTTTCATTTCATGTTTTCTTCATTTTTTTAGTATGTTTTCATTTGCTTTCTATATAATCTATGTAATGAGTTTTGAGCCGATGACTCCCAAGTCAGATGACCATAGGCACTGATCGCGAAATGAACTTTCCTTATTCG